TCCTGGTTGGCTTTCCCTCTGAGCTGGTGCAGGGCATACCCACAAACTCACAGCCTCCTAGTGGTCCCTTCATGATCCATGGGCGATCTGGTACAGCAGGGCTGGTCCCCATCTCAGAACTGCCCATGGCTCCCACTTTGGGGACCAGCCAGGCAGGGCCTCCCCATGCCTCTAGACCTCACTCAGCTTAGCTCAGCTGTCACTTGTGGGAGTCTACCCGGACCTAAGTATACCTAGCTCACACTGCCAGACCAACCTGAGGAACATCAACAGGCACTCACCTGAGTGCAGGATCCCTAGGGATGCACCGAGTGGTACACATCCACCTGAATCCCCCCACCTGAAGTCTGCTGTGACCATGTTCCTCTTCAGATCTCAGTTCAGCAAGGATTCTGGATGTCCCTTGGAACTGGAGAAGAGGGCCGATGAGTAGTGACAGGAAAATAGCTAGAAAAGGTGTCACAGAGCTGGAAGGGCACTGCACCCTGAAAGGTTCTGCTGCGTGGGCCTAGTGGGGCTACGGCCACCCTGACCTCAACACAGGCAGTGAGTTCTGAGCAGACAACAGAGGAAGGGCTGTGGCGTGCTCTGGGTGGGAAGCCAACAGGGTCCTGTGGCGAAGACAAGGCTAGGGATCCTGGAGAAAGCTGCAGGGGCAAGGTATGGAGAAAGTAAGACACAAACTTGGATGTAGAAGTCGTTTTATTTCTGTGGTTAGCCCACAGTGGCCCTGTACACAATGAACTGAGGGCCGTAACACAGCTTGCCAGGTGAGGATACCACAGCACTGCAGGGTCACACCAAACACTGCCCTGGCAACTTCCTCAGAGAGCCAGGACCAGCATGGTCCCCACTGCCCATCCTCCAAGAGACCCTGGGAGGTGTATGGGGACAGCACCCACCACCTTCACAGGCTCAGGAATGGTAACCATTGAGGTGGCTCAGATTCTCTGGAAAATCCAGTCTACACAAGTTTGGTCAGAGTGGCTCACAGGTACTACCCATTGCCACACAGATGGAGTGCTGTCATTGTCCTCACTCCAAAGGCACCGCCCAAGCCAATCGCCTTGCTTTCCCTGGCAGTGGGGATAGGTGTGGAGGCACAAAGTGGCTTTGAGAACATCAGTCCCAGGCCAGTCTGACGACGAGCTTCCTAGGCTTGCATGGTGTCCTAAAAGGCCACTTTAGGAGGCCACCCTGAGACCCAGAGTTGCCCTAGCCCTGGGTTCCCAAGGTCCCAGCAGTCCTGACTGAGCTCCCGCCATGGCCTGAAGCCTATTTTAGAGGGACTACACCTGTGACAGCTGAGCACCAGCATGTCTTCATGTCAAGCTACAATAGAAGGAGGGGTGGAACATGGGCCGGAAGCAGCCGTCAGGGGCTGTGTGGAAGCCTCGGCTACATCTCCAGCACAGCTTTGACCACACCTTGTTCCTGGCCATAACTGCTAGACTCCCAGATTTTAGTACCCCTCTTGCAGGTCCCTATACTGTGCTGGTCTCCCTCAATGGGCTGGGGACCCTGTTTTGCCACCTTCAAAGTAGTAAGAGCCACTGCCACTGGCTTTCAAAGGTGACAATGTCAGGGACAGGTGTGTGGCTCTGGGCCACCACTGCACCTCTGCTCACTGCCCAGGGCTATAAATACTCCAGCTGCAAATGACAAGTACCAAGAGGACATTAATTCTAAATTAGAGTTTGTGATTGTGTCCTTGGCTGAGGGTGGGAACCGTGTCCCACCCAGAAAGCGCCACTCAGTCTGACCTCTAGCGGCAGAGGTTGGAAAGCAGGGTTTGGAGAGGGGACAGTAGCAGAATGAGATGCCACAGACCCAGGTCAGGAGTAGCTCAGGCAGAGGCAGAGCCCTGCCCTCTGCTAGACTGGAAGCATATTCTGGAACAAGCATTCATTCCTGTGCATTTGTCAAAGTGAGGGACAAGAAAACAGGACAGGGAGAAACAGACATGGGGGTGGAGTGGGAGGGGGTGTCTTCCCTGCCCTAGGGAAGTGCAGCCTATACAGGCTCAGTGCCAGGGATGCCCAAGGCCCCATCCAGGGAGAGTTGGAAGCATTCCGGCAGCCCATGGCCACTTCAGCCACTCCACTCCCTTCTGGCGACCCCAGAACCCTGATCGTGGGGTGGTCCACTTGGTAGCATAGGGCACTGTAGTTCCTAGGGCCACTAATAAACGCTCATCTCCTGCCACAGCCATTGACAGGGTGAACACTCAGAATCAATAGCTGTATTGTAAAATAACCAGAGCATGGCCGGTGCCCGCAGTGCAAGGTCACCTCAGCACTGCTCTGGGGCAAGGTGACAGCAGTAACATGGCAAAGCTTAACGAGGAACCTCCTAGAAGGAGGCGGCTCTCTGCCCTGGCACCTTTGCCCCCATCTAGAGGGACACCTGCAGTCCTGGGCAGGGCTGAGTAACCTCAGGGCCAGGCAGGCCCGCCATGCCATGCCCCATACTGGCTGTAGGTTTCTCCCTCTTCCTGTGGCCCTGCAGAGGCCATGGTTACAACTCCCTTATCTCCTAAGTTAGAAAGAACAGGAGATTGATGGGGTTACCTGTGCCACTCAGAGGTTTGGCAACTATGGAGATGGCTTAAAACTCAGGTGGAGAGGCAAGAAATCAGCCTAACACACCCAACCCCTCACTTGCTGCAAAGAATTCCTTTTCCTAAGTCTTCTAGGAATAAAAACACTGTGTATTTGTCAGGGATTGACATTTCATTTAATAAGAGTGGAAAAGTGACAGCTGAACGAGCCATTGACGAGAAGCCACGTCTACATTGGGCTTGTAACTCCATTAAAATCACAACAGGAAAAGTACCGAGGGTTTAGGAGACACCAAGCCTGAGTGTGAGGCCGCCTGAGGCTGCTGTACAGAGAACAGCTGCCTTCGAGCCTATCCCACAGCCCAGAGCGCCCTGCCCAGCACCCCAAATAGTCCCCCAGGAGTCCCTGTGGGTGACACTAAACACTTCTTCCAAAGCCCCGAGGGCAAATGCCATCCTAAAGAACATGATCAAAGGGAGGGTGGCTCGCCTGGGAGCAGAAGCCACCTCACAGCTGGCAGCAAAGCCTGAGTCACATGGTAGTCACACTCGCCAAGCTGAGCCCACTTGGCGGTGTTCCCACACTTTTGCCCTTAAGGGGCAAGGGCAGGGCTGAGGGAGCAATGGCTCACACTGTCTGTCCCCTAGCTTGACTAGGGCTCCTCGGCACCCAAATGGTCCTCAGAGCCCAAATCTACCAGTATGGTGCTTGGGGAGTGGGATCCGAGTTCCAGCCCACCTATCTTGCTGTTAGCAGTTCAGTTCAGCTCAACACGAGTCTGTTACCCCAGAGGAGAATCCTGCAGGGGACAACCCAGGCTCTGGCTCTGTGGCATGCCCACCAGCCAAGGGTGAGGTCCGTGCCTGGTGGGAGATGAGGCAGCCCGTGTCGTCCTGCACCCTAAGCAGGCATCAATCCAAGAAAGGGTTCCCAAGGGCGGCCCCAGGGTCAGCCCAGACAGCTGAGGGCTTGCCATGGCTGTTGGAACTTCCCCCTGGCATCTGTTACTTTGATGTCCTGTCTCTCCTCCTGCTTGTTTGATGAAGGGCAATGGCAATGCCCAGAAGGGAACCAGAATCTACAGTCTCACAACCTGAATATGCATCTGTCCGAAGGGAGAAAGGAGGCCACAAGGTGAGGGTCTGGGATGGTGGGGTATGGGCTGCCAAGAGCACAGTGCCCAGTGCAAGCCAGGTGTGTGTGGTGACATCTGGGGGACAATGTGGCTTCTTGCCGGCTCAGCCCCACTGCCCCAGAGAGGCTGCTGGGCTCCAGACCTGCATCTTGCCTTCCATGTTTATAAAGAAGACTTTATGGTAGCACGTGTGCCCAGAACTCAGTTGCTGAAGCAGAAGGATTGCCATGAGTGTGGCCAGCCTCGGTTAGTTAAGGAGGGAGGCTCTACCTTCAGCAAAAAACTGAACAAGAACAAAGCAAACAAGCCCGAACCTCCACAGCACTGAGTTCCTCGTGCAGAGCAGTGGGCACTACTTAACTAGAGATGCTCAGTGGGTAGTTCTCCAGGCCCACTGGGGCAGGGTGCTGCGAGGCCCCCTGCTGTCTATCCTCCTTAGCAGAGACAGTACACACACAGCATTGGAGCCAGACATTCCAAGTGTGCCTCAGGGCCAGCTGTCACCCTAGGCCTGAACTCACAGAGAGGAAACCTCCACTGCAGCCTGAGGCCACATGCTGTCACCTCTTCAGTGAGAAGAGACCATTCCAATTAAGTCAATCCTTTCACTTCTGGAATAGGATCGACCTGAAGCCCCACCCTCCTCACAGGAAGGGCTCAGGTGATCTCACAGGGCCTTGGGATACTGCAGGGAGGCCCAGAAACTGGAGCTGTGCCTGGACATGACAGAGGGAGTGGGTGGGGCTGCAGTAGTCAAAGCTTCTAAGAGCTGTTTGTCACCTCTGTCCGCAGGCGGATGAGGGGGGGAGGGGCGGGGGGATGGACGGACGACTGTGCTCCTGACACCCCATCTGTTGGCGAACCAGGGCCGGTGAGCCATGAGGCCCAGCAGGATCAGCCCAGTGTCGGCAGTGTCTGTCTACACAGGACCTCTAGCAGCTGGCACAGTAGCTGCTTCCACGCCGGCCTCCCAGGCTGGAAGGTTCGTACACATCAGGAATGACAGGTTAATAAAGCGGCAATTTGATCAGTTATTAACTCCAGTGTCCACAGGATTGATTTGCACATTGTGTGTCTGGTAGAACTGCAAGCATTTTTCTGATCAGGCTAAGTGCCAGGATGAGCTGCATCTGGTCTCATTTAGGAGGGACAGCCTCTGCTCTGCCCACGTGCAAGCACTGGAGACTGAGGACACCCGTGCAGCTGCAGAAGGCCAGAGCAGTTCCACAAGCCTGCAACACCCGTGACTTAGCAAACAGAGATAAACTACACAACTACAGACCACCACACAGCGCAACGGTGCCACAGAGGGGACACTCCAGGACTGGGCCCTTTGGTTGTCAAGGCCTAGGGTTCCTTTTTGTATTGAGCTTGGGCCTGGTACCTTGGTAACATTAGAGGTAGGAATTAATGGAGGAGTTGAAGAATCAAGACCCACTTCCTGCCTTGGAGACTGCCTGAAGACTGGCAAAGCATGGGTGCCCTTCTGTCCCCTGAGGGAAGAAGCCTGGTTGGGGGTGGCTTCTGCAGCCAGGAATGCTCCTCCTTGGGGGTGGGGGAGGGGACGCTCCTGCTCCACCCAGGCCCACCCAAGTCACAGCACGTCCTCTGCCTCCTTTATTGGTGCTGTTGGTTGGGTGAGCGTGAGTTGGGGCTCGGACTCGGGGGTAGTGAGCTGGCGCTGGGTGCTCGAAGAGCATGAGGGTCGAGCGGCTGACTGGGGGTGCTGGGGTCACCTGTCGCCGGCTCCTCACTGCTCCCGTCTTTCTGGCTGCTCTGCTGCTCCGGACACTCAAAGTGGACACAGTGGAACACCTGGTAAGAGACAGAAAGGGCGGGTGAGCGGCTCGGCCTGGGCCCTGAAGCTTGGAGCCGAGACGATGCCACGCCCAGGTGTGCTGGCTGAGTGCGGGATCTCCCAGTTCCCAGTGCGCACCTGGCTCCTTGCCTGTCTCAGCTACCTGAAAGCAAACAAGGTTTTAGAAGCAGGTGGTCAATCATGGTAAATGCAAAAAGACAATTCCAGCGTTACAAAAGCCCAGGCTGGACCACTCAGAACCAGCGTTTCTCCTCTGACCCCTTTCTCCCTTTTGAACTATTCCTTTGCCAAAAAAAAAAAAAAAAAAAAAAAAGAAGGAGGGGGTGGAAGAGAGAAGACAGAGGAGAGACAGAGGAGAGAGGAGGGAGAGGAGGGGAGGGGAGGAGAGGGAGAGAACACAGTGAGTTCTTATTTAAATATAAATAAATTTTTTCCAGAATTACGAAAACGTGTTCAAGTTTCCTAGCTAAAACCTTTCCATAATTGCTTTCAGGTTCTGGCTGCTTCATTCATAAGTTAGTTAAGTTCTCTTTCCTCAGCCAGGTGTTCTGGCCTAAACCTATAGTCATAGCCTTTCAGGAAGCTGAGGCAGGAGGACCTGGGGCCAGGCAGCCACTCTTTGTTTCCTTTGAGCAGAGCAAGAGCACCCAGCCCCCTCCTCCCTGCCCCTCCGCCTGCCCTCTCTTGCTCTGCCAGTTTTCTCCTCAGGCCAGGAAAACCTAGGAGATCTCTCAGTGCCCCTCTTGGGACAGACACTTGTAGACCCAGGCTCTGCAGCCCTTCTGCCTGCAGGAGTAACTAGATGATAAAAACCCTAACCCGGGATGGGTGAGTGGCTCAGCCCATGCTGGGCAAAGCCTGGAAGATGCAAGTTGTCAGAGGATGTGCACACCGGGTGCCTGGCTTCCCCACTGATCTGTCCCCTCCCACTGCCACTTCACCCTGCATCATTTTCTCTCACTCGAATGCCAGTGTGTCCAACTGGGCTGTCAAGCCACATGTCAGCGCCAGTGCTGTTCTCCTGGGGACTCCTCATCCACAAAGGCCATACCCAGTTCTCCCCCAGGCCACACAAGTCTTGAGAGTCTACCTGAGTTAAAAGACACAGGCTGAACTTTCCTGCAATGAGTCCCAGGGGTCCCGCAGTTGCAGGGTAATGTAATCATCAGACATGAAGAACTGTGACCCCTGACCCAGCTGTTCCTGCAAACCCTGAGTCGCACAGGTGAAAGCCTCCTTGGCAAGGGTGATACACAGGATGCCATTCACCCAGTCACAGCCTCTAGAGGAAACGCCACAGAGTGGGGGGAGGGCACGAAACTGGTTAAGAGTGAGTGACAAGAGGTCAGGGAGGAACAAGAATGTGACATATACCTTAAGGGCGTGAAGGGTGAAGGCGTGCCAGGGCATACCTGGACAAGCAAGGAGCAGCCCAGGAAGTCAGCACAAGTCAGGGAGGACAAGGTGGCCTTGCAGGACAGGGCTGCGCTTGCGCTTGCCACTGTTGCTTAGCTCTGGGAACTAAGGCAGGTGTGTATGGAGCAGGGGTGCAGGGACTGGCTGACAAGATCAGGCTGGAGCAGGGCTGCATGCGGCCAGAAACATCTAGCCACGACAAACTCCTGCAAACCAAACTTTATCTATAAAGACTACAGAAGAAACACGAGTGTGGTGACAAATTCAAATGCCACGCTTAGAAAAAGCAGACGACAAGCCTTTGGGTACCCTGAGGTAAAGCAGCCGTGTACAATCTAGGAAGGAGTCACACTTAAAGGATACTAAGAGAAGAAAGAAAAGGAGCCTGCAGCATGTGGCAAGGACTTGGTAGAGGAAAGCCACTGGCCCTGCAGCGAGCGACCCTGGGACTCTCAGACAGGCTGTGGCCTTGAGAACACTCCACAGACAGCCCTCCCCTGTTCCTTCCCCTGGGTCCCATAGATGCTCACAGCAACCACTGAGCACCAACTCTGACCAGTGCCGCTGGGGTGTGCTCACTCACCACAGAGAGGGAGCTGGGGACCTGCCTAGCCTACTGGGGTGCTGACACCAAGGCAATGTCAGGATGACATGATGCCTGGAGTGGACCTTAGGGAGTACTCCAGAGAAGTGTTCCCTATAATAGAGAAGACTGCATAGACCAGGCCCCAAAGAGCTAGGAGGCAGGATGAGTGGCCTTGGAGGCAGAGGGGGAGTCCTGGAGTCCTGGTCCAGGTCTAGCCCTGAATCTCACTCTGGCAGTTGCCTTCCACCTGCTATTGTCACCTCTCTGTGACTGTGCCTGGTTCAGTCGTCTCAGCGATGTTCAGGGCAAGTCATATGCACACAGTTCCTGCACTACCCAAGATGTTTATACACGCTGTGTAAATGCCATGGTACCTGCCGCTCTTCAGCATCACCATACACAACACAGGTCAAGACCCCTCCCTTTGACCCCAAATACCTTCCAGTTTGTACATGGACCTGGAAGAGCTTGTAGTTAATGGTTTCTCTTCTCAAATGGAGATGAAACCTCCTACACTTCAGGGCAGCCATGCTGGGCCTGAGGCTGCCTATAGTCAGGCCCTCACAGAGACCTCATAGAAAGTGGCCTTCTGGTCTTATAACTTGTATGGAAATTGGTGTAGGAAGCGAATAGCTTGAACGAGTGTGACTATCACAGAGGGCCTAGGAAATGTGTCCTTGCTAACCCACCATGCTCCTGCCCCTACTTCCTCCCCTCCCTTCTTCCTACCATGCACTTATGGGCCTCACATGAGATGAAATGGCCAAGTCCTGGCTTTCTCTTTGCTTAGGAGCTGGTGTGATACAATTTCTCTCCTCCAAACCTTCCCCAGACTGCAATACTCCTCGGAAAGGATGTGACCAAAAGTGAATGAGGCATACCGGGCAGAGGCAAACTTCTGATTTATGCAAAGCCATTACCATGGTCTCCACATCATTTTCCCTTCAACTTTTCGGCAATCGTGTATCCCATTAGCCTGTTTGATTGCTGCTGTTCATGAAGGGGCACCTTCGCTGAACCATCTTCAGCAACATAGGATCTCTCCCCCGAGAGGAGCGGCCAATTTGCAATGCAGTCATGTGTATCAATCAGACCCAGTCTTCCTCACACCCGGCTGTCCTTTCTTGTGGCTGCTGTTTATTATCACTTTGCCAGGCCTCTGTGGGAGCTGTAATCCTGGACGTGTCTGAAATGGTCTGGCATGTTCCTTCCTGTGAGCCCATGCAGTGTGTGTGTGCCATCCAGACCCTTTGGGAGGTATACAGCCCGTGCAGTGAAGTCCAGGATGACCTCAAATTCATTATAGAGCTGAGGATGGCCTTGAACTCCATATCTTTCTGCCTCTACCTTCCACCCAAGTGCTGGGATCAAAGGTGCACACCTTGCCAGGTGTTGGTGGCACACGCCTTTAGTTCCAGCACTTGGGAGGCAGAGACAGGCAGATCTCTGAGTTCAAGATCAGCCTGGTCTGTAAGAGCAAGTTCCAGGAGAGCCCCCAAAGCCAGAGAAACCCTGTCTCAAAAAAGCAGGGGGAAAAAAAAAGGAAGGAAGAAAGAAAGAAAGGAGAAAGGTGTACACCTCAGTATTATAAAGCATAAGTACCATTTTCATGAGTATTTATCCCTAGGCATGGGATTAAGATTCTGTGACAATGCTTACATACATGGCACTACTTTAACATTATAATATCACATCCTCATAGCTATAACTCTACTGTTTGGAAAGTTCTAGAAAAAAAAAACAACCTTCCCCTAGGTGTCCCTAGAATTTCCTACTTCTGTGTTTTTCGTTGTTATTTCTAAGTTTTTAAATTTGTTTCACTGTTTTTAATGTGTGTGTGTTCCTGAGTGAACTTACTGCTGGCTGTAGAATCAGTCACCTAGGAGACTGGAGAGGCACATCTAAGCTCAGTGTGCCTGTGAAGGCCCTGCCAGACAGGACTGAGGGGCAGTGACACACCCTGACTGAACAGCACCACCCTGCCACCATGCAGGAGTGCACAAGGCCAGGTGACCAAGATGAACAGGGGTTTTTCTTAACACCTGGGCAGAGGACGCAAAAAGCCTGACTAATTCAAGTAGTTAAAAAGAGTCATCTTGTTATGTTTGGTGGGGTATATTCAAGTTATTTTAAAAACCAAACCAAACCTATGGAACACAAGTGGAGAATATCCTTGCATCCCCGGTTTCTGGGGTGCCTGAGTTCCCAGTCCTGGTAGAAGTGGCCTAACCAGGGCTTCCTTCTACAAAGGAGGAAGGTGAAGTGACCTGGGGTCATAGAGTGGTGGGAGGTAAAGGTGGCAGTGTGGTCTGCCCTGTCCTTCCCATCACAGTGTGGTCTTACTGTCCTCCAGGCCTCCCTATCCTTTTCTGAGGCCACCTGACCTGGACCGCTGCGCCTGTGTACTGCTGAAGTCTGCTTCTCCCTGAACCTCTCTCACTTACGGCTCCTCCCCACCCTCTGTCTTCTCCCCTCTACACAGCTCTGAACTTTCTCACAAGCACCTCAGCTCTCCCACCTCCCACGACAAGAGGACACACAGGCTTATGAAGGCCCCAGCTTCTCCCCCTCGCCACTCCTAATCTTGTCAACAGTGACTCCTGGAACCAACACTCCAGCCCACTCACCCTGTGGAAACTGCTGTGTGCCATGCCATACTCTACCTTCAAGAGCTGCAGTGCATTGGGCTCTAGGTCACATCCTCCTGCTGGAGCTGTCCACCAAGCCTGTCTGGGTACCCTACACCATTGTCTTTCTGGATCAGCACCTTACCCTAGTCCACAGAGCCTTGTCCACGGTGCCACAGGAAACCTATGTGTGCCAGGGTCAGCTCACACAGTGTATATCTTGTATATCTTTCTCTGGCTACTGAGACACAACACTCCAGGAGGGACAGGCTCACCCCAGGAGCAGAGGGGCCTGCAGGGGGGGGGGGGGACGTGTCTCATGCAGGCTGGAGCTGTCCTCCCTATTTGCTCTGAGTCTGCTGCATGTCTGCTGTGGCCCTGGGAATTCTGAGATGAGGCTGCTGTGAGGCACCTTCTGGGCCTAGATGTTGTCTCTGGGGAGAACATGGATGGAGTCCTTCAGGGGTCAGGGCACACTCCAGGGGGGATCTGGAAAATAATTACCCCAAGCCAGCAAGTTTTCCAGAGTCTGTTGTCCTGGTTTTATTTTCACTAAATCCACATGTTGCTATGGGAACGAGGAGGCACTAGGATCCCAGAATCACTCACTGCCTCATGGAGCCTGTGAGGAGTGCCCAGCTCTCATGCAGACCCGGACTTGGCTGCTGCTGCTGGCCTGTGTGACCCTCTCGCAGCAAGCACATGGCCGGTTACAGTTCCTGGCACATGGCAAAGTGTGGAATGACTTGCACGGCCCTGCTCCTCCACTTGCTCTTTTATAGAAGAAAGTCTGCTCTTTGACTGTCCCTGCACCCACCTGCATCGGGCCATCTCAGCTACCCCTGAATAGCAGTCCACCATGTCACAGGACTTAGAGATACAAATGTCACCTGAAGTACAGGGCTCTTCAAGGGGTGCACTGCCAGGCAGAGAGGCTGCAGTCCCCGTAAGGAAGTGCTCTCTCAGTCTCTCCTAGACCTAGCATATGCGGTGCACAAAGCAAGCCCATCAGAGTGTGGTGCAGCTTCCTGAGGTGTGGGCCAGGCAGCCCACGTCAGCCCCTCACTGTGTCACAATTTTCTGGGAGACACCGCAGTCAGATGTTAAGAGCCAGCCTTTAGAAAAATGGCTTTTCACCATTAAGAAGGCATGGTTCAGGAGCTCTAAGAGCTTCTGTACTCTAGTGAGGATTTCCTGAAACCAGCAAATACGAATACTTATATACCTGGTACATATTCTCCATGGTGCCACATTTTATATAACGGTATAGACAGTTTGTTGAGAATTCCATATACCTAGCCACAGCCCTGGTGAAGAGCGGGACTCTGCACTTGCCTGACTCAAGCCCTCCTACCCCAGGAACTCTAATTTGGCTGAGACAGTATTGTTCCTTGCCTTTTTCCTTAGCCATTTTGTCATCTGTAGCATTTCTCCCGGCCTGAGGTGTATGTAAAGGGGGTCCTACTACATGGGGGCCTTGGTGTCCTTCAACACACTATGATGTACACCCAGCATGGAAGGGACATGCTGTGTTGTCTGCCATTTCTTCTGCGGGCAGTGAGCACTGGGTCCTACAGGGAGGAGGAGGAGCACTACTTCCTGGAGCATCACTTCCGGGAGGACAGCAGGGAAGGTGGAAAATCAAGTGTGCTCAGATAGCTGGACCTACAGGGAGCAGGAGTACCTAGAGCTGAGGGAAGAGGGCGCTTACCACAGCAGACACATGCTAATAACCCTCGGGACATAGCAGAGCCTGGCCGGACACAGAATCCTAACCTGCCTGGGCCTGGCAGCCTCATCCAGCCCTGTTTGTATCTGCCCCATTATCCTAAGCCAGCTGGACACTGGAGGTCATGGCAGAATCCACCACAGAGTTGAAAAGCTGTCATCTTAGATGCTCCAGGCTGTAGAGACTACGGAGGGGCTCTAAACCAGGACACCTTGTCCCCGTGAAAGCTCTTCCACTCTCAGGAGCCTGTGTGGGCACCCCACACCCCTGCTCCGAGGCATGCCTTCTCCGAAGACCTCCCCAGCAGGGCAGCACAGTGCTCAGCCTCCAACTGTAGATTTTGTGACCAGTAAATAACTAAAACAAACAAAACTTAGAAGCCAGGCTCTCCTGTGCAACTTACAACAGTAACGGCAGAGCATCGCGGGCCTGGGGTACAAGCACTCACCTGAAGGGAAACAAGTACTAGTCTAAAATGAAATCCCCCAGACTCATAAGGGAAGACCCGGCCCCACTGCCACGAGACAGCAGTAGAAGGCAGGGCCTTTGAGGGCCACACTAGGCTTAAAGGGGACCAAGGTGCAGGGCTCTGTGGAGTCCTCACAGGAAGGGAGAGGGAACCAGATCTCATTAACTCCCTTTCCAGGTATGTGCTCCAAGAAAGACCATGCAAAGATAGAAGGCTGGCCCAGCTCCCATACCAGCCAGACTGCACAACCTGGCCTGAGCTCTGAGAAACAAGTGTCTATCACGTCAGCCATACAGTGTGTGGGGCTTGGCTCCAGAAGTCAAGCTAAGATTGCCACTGAAGTCACCTGGCAGCTGAGCAGGGGCAGGCTGAGGAAACCCTACTTCTCCTCAGCCCTATTTATGACAGCATGCTACTGGCTCCCTGGGCCGACAGAACCGCGCTTTCCTGAACATTCATCCCCAGCTTCCTTTCCGTGGCCATGCCCCACGCATCAGCTCTACACTCCTGCCCGGGGACATCACTTCTCCTTTAGAGATATATCCCCAGGGATATATCTGCCCACCCAGCCCTGAGTCCTCCTCTGTCCCGACAAGCGACAGTCAGTCATATCCTTTTTTCCAGAGATATACAAAACTCTGGCAGTCTGCCACATCTTCCATGCCCTGGGAGATGCAGCCTGCTTGCTCCTCAAAGTGCACTCTGGGAATGATGGTTATGGATTCTATCCTGAAGCCCTGTTCATCATGTATCTTATGATTCAAGATGTTTTCCAGGTGTCAACACTATGCTGAGGCTTTTTTTTTCTCAGTTAATAACTGACCCTGGAAGGCAGCTAGGGAAGTTAGTCATCAGCCAAATGAGGTATATGACCATAAGAGGCTGCCCTCCAGCTAGGACCACCAACACTGTCCAGGCACCACTGAGTACCTGCAGAGAGCTGGGGGACACACCCTTAAGAGAGACCCTGCACCCTGTTTTATAGCATTGTGATAGGAAAGGCCTGAGAAAGAACCACTTTGAAATCCCATGACCAAGGCTCTTTCCCTTTGCTTTGGTCACCAGCCTCCTGACCTGAGAATCCCCTCCTTATAACCATCATCATGGAGTTCCATCTAGGCATTTACGCAGAAGATTAATCTTCCTGTGGGGACGGGGACTCACTGCATTAGAAAGACTTTGAACAGAAAATATTTTACTTTTGTTATTTGTACAGATAAAGTTAAATGGTAAATATTAGAGCTCAGTGTTGCACAGATGGGAGATCAGTGGTTACGAGCCCCTCCTGCTCTTCTAGAGGAATCAAGTGCAGTTCTCAGCATCCATTCAGGCAGCTCACAACTGTAAGCCGGCTTCCCTGTAGCTGCAGATGCCCATATGAACAGTTATACACAAAATTAAAAAGGAGATGAGTTTAAAAAAACAACAATTGCAACTTATTGGTCAAATTAAAAAATTATGAATTTGAAAACAAAACATTAAATGCAAATTCAAATTTGGTTTTGATATAACAGAGAGACAAATGGCCTTATGACCTGGCATCTACTTACCTATTTATTCGGGTTTTAAGGATACCCTGCTAGTACAGCCCCGGCTTACCCGGTGCTCACTCTGTCCCCAGCCTAACCTTGAGCTCAGAGCTGTCCTGCTACCCTGCCACCCTTATGGCCTGAAGTTTAGATGTCTGTAAAAGTATCAGCTGATTTACTATTCCGAAAATTTCAAGTTAGTTTTGGAAGCAGGAGAAAACACTTGGGGTCCGTTTATCAGCTGGTCCCTATAGGAAACACACTGTAGGGTCATTATTACCCTAAAGAAGTAAAAAAGGCAAAATGGATCTAAATGACAATGCCATTTCCACTTTTAAACCTGTCCTTGAAGCACCAGACATACCTGGACATTTTCTGGAGAAAGGATGCTCGAAAGTAACGGGCACAACTGGGCCAGTTCTACTATGTGTGGGTCGGGTGCAAAATGACAATGCAGAGAGAGGTCTGTGTTTTGGAAGCAGGGGATACCCCCCTCCACCCCAGCATGTCTGCCATGCTCTTCAGTTTGCTACCTAATGTGTTTCTCCTTCACATGTGGGAACACCCTGAGGCTAGTGCAGCCCTTGAATTCTTCAGGACCCTATGTGCACTCAGACTCACAGGAGTCACCCGCTTGAGAAGAAAGGGCAGGAGGCCAGCATGTGAGACCCATTGGTGTGGACTCTAATGCCAGCAGGCTTTCCTTCTATAATATAGCCCAACAGTGAAAACACCAATCACAGCCAGAAGGAGCCTAGAGCACACCCCGAGCGCACAGGCTCCCATTACGGCACACCCATGAACCAATCCTGAGAAGAAGCAAAAAAGACCAGGGTACATGGTACCCTGCATGGTACCACTGCAGTAATTACTTCTCATTTTCCATCTCACTGTCCCCATGTCTTTAATCGGAGCCTCCGGAGGTGTGTACTGATGTGGAATGGTGATCAGGAAGACAGTGACGGTGCACCAAGCCAACAGCACAGCTCAGGGTCTCTTATGCTATTCTCACCCAGGCTGGCGGAAGACTCCGAGCAGCAGCTGTTGGCTTTCTCTTGCCAGTGAACAGAACCCTGACAATGGCATCCCCTCTGGATGAGGGTGGGGATTCCTTTATAATGAGTTGCAGTAACAACAGACCATTACCAGGCAGGGCAGAGAGATCCACTTAACCGGGGTGTGGGATGCAGTGGTTACCTGGTTATCACGAAACAGCACTTCTCAGGAGAGAGCCCTTACCTCATTTGCTGTGTTGTGTGTTCCGACGATTCGGATGAAGGAGGCAGGCTGTCTTTCAAAAGTGACTGACTGCCAGGACCTGAGAGGAAACACAATAATTTTCCTGGTTAGCTGGTACAGCCAGCTTGGCTGACAGTTTGGCAATGGGTCATGTCAGCTCCTGTGCCAGGAGACCCAGTCTACAGGGAGAGGAGGTTGGGGGTAGGGTGGGGCTTCCACCGTGATGTCGTGGAAGAAGGCAGGAAATGCACTGTCCCATTTGGGAGCCGGCCATCTCACCTGAGCAGGTACCACTACTGTGTGTAACTGCCATCAAAAACAAAGCAAGACTGTGGACACGCTTGCCTGGTGACAATCAAGTGTGGTGGGGTTTATATACAGGAGTCCTCACCCACAGCGTGGTGCCCCCCTCACTGGCAGAATTAGCAGAAGTTCAGCACAAATGTCAACCCTGAGTCAGGGGTGGGCGCCTGCACTGGAAGCTGTTGGGAGGAGAGTCCTGAAACAGGGTAGTGGGGTGGCTGGGTGGGACAGGGTGGGGTGGGTCCTGTGCCTGAGCTTGGAGCTGCAGGGCTCACTGGACCAGAGCTGGCCCCTAACAGGTAAGTGCCCTGCAGTCTCCAGCCTTTCCTGCTCCCAAACATGGCCCCACAGGGCTTCCTTCCTTTCAGGACTAGCCTATCTCTGAGTGGCTTCCAGAGTGGCTTCCAAATCAATCTCTATTTTAGTTTATCCCCCTCCCCCCCCCCCCGCCCTCCTCTCTCCCTTCTCTCCTTCCTTCCCATGTATGTGTAGTGTGCATGTTGAGACCAGAGGTCAATGCCAGGCATCTTCCTTTACTCTTTCCACCTTATTGTTTGAGATACGATTTCTCACCAAGCCTGGAGACAAGATCTGTCACTGAACCCAGAGCTTGCCTTTTTCAGAAAGACCAGCTAGCTGGCAAGCTCTGGAGATCCTCCTGACTCTCTGCCCCTCCTGCAGCACTGGAGCTGCAGGCACACACTGCTGATGGACCTGTCCTTTAAGTGGGTGCTGGGATCCAAACCCCGCTCCAGCTTGCACAGTGAGCATGATTCCCACTGAGCCATCACCCCAGCTGCAACCCTGACACCTAGAAGCTCACCTAGAAGCCCACATGGGTGCAGGAGGAGCCCTGCTCCTGGCCTGGCCCTCCTCAGCTCATGAGCATGCACACTGTGACTGCGAACTCCGGGACAATCTATAATCCATGTGAGCAGCTCACAGTTGCGCCGGCCCTCCTCCCGCACTGTAGAAATGCCAGCTGCTGTGAAGCTGTTTCCAGTAATTGTCTAATTACCAAGGAATGCTAGCAAAGGAAATACATGTATCTGCAGTTTGTTTTTCCCATTTGGCTTCAGGTGTTCTATCTTCCTCCTCACTATGCACCTCCCACTGAGACCGACTCTCCGCTGCCCGGACACCAGTCCTCTTAGGGTCATTAAAAAGTCATTACCATCCTGTGCACAAAGGCTTGCCTCCGGAAGCAAGTTTTTGAAAACAGAGTAAGAAAAATCACTTTCTCTGTAAAAACACTATTACTCACACTTAGACAACCCACCTGCCCATCCCCCATGCATGCCTCTCTGCCCTGCATCTCAGCAGGGTCTCCTGCTCTTGGGGTGCCTGCCAGACAGGAGACAGTCTGTGGGCAGGAAGGTCTGCAAGGCTGTGGGGGTTCTAAAGAGTGGCTGGGGAAGCAGACTGTGGGAGGCATCAGAACTCTGCCTTCATCCTAGGACCAGGACACACACAGGAGCCTGTAACCATCCCTGGGTTTGAGAGGAGGGCGGGGAAGGCAGGAGACAGAGCAGGGGGTCTTTCTAGCCTGCACCCATCACGGTTCCAGAGACTTTAGATTTAAGGTAAGGCTACATGGGGGACCTCTCAGGCCTCATAGAGCACTGGACACTTTGCTTGTGGGCAGGCCAGCATCAGACCCAAGGCCCCTGCCGCCTCTGCCACAGTTCGTAAGTGGGTCTGCCTGGAGTGTTCTTGGCACACAGGTCTCGTTACTGGCAGGTTCCTGGCCTTTTCTCTCCCACTTAGGCTTCTGCCTGGCCTGGGGCTCGGGGCAGGGCAGCAGCTGAGCAGGAGAGAGCCTGAGTTTGTGGAGTAATAAGATCAGAAGGTCTCAATTTAATACTGCTCCTCCATTACATTGCATTAGTATCTAATCACATTAGAGTTCATTTTCACTAACACAGCCTGAGAGTTGAATATATGATCTCATTTCCAGCAGAACTAGACACCAATCCAAAGAGCAAAGTAGAAGGAAGCTGCCTGGATGGGGATGATCACCCCCACCTCCTCCCCTCCCCACTTCCCGGAGTGTGATCCCCAGACTTTGTCAAAACCACTTCAAATGATGTCTTGTGAAGAAATGGACAGCTTTGGAACACCATCTGAACCACTTGTCACAACTGCAGTGTGACTCAGGTCAATGCTCGGAATAAAGTCTCACAGAACCAAGAAGGCCAGCACCAAGGACGCTGTATCAGCCAAGGCTGTGGCCATTCCTGTGAGCTTTGGAGATGGCTGCTCAATGGCCAACTTGTCAGGCACATCTCAGGAAGGGTCAAGGGTGGCTCTGGAATGGCAGATTACCTAACCAAGCCAGTCTGATGGACAGCAGTCCCTTCCAAGAGTAACCCTTCACCATGAGGAAAACTAAGTCCTATGGAGGTGAGGCAATCCATTCTCAGGAAAGCTCCTTAAGCTCAGGAAGTGAACAACTCAAAGGCTTCAGGAAGTCCCTGAAACTGACCAGATTCAAAAGGTTTCACCCTCCCCAAGTATATAAAATCAGTGAGAACTTCTCAGACACTCAGACTAGAAGACTCAGCTGCCTGGTAGAGAGAGGCTCAGACCAGCTCAGCTGTCTGAGAAGACACTGCAGCCTGTTATCTGCCTGTGGCTTGCCCTGTCTCCAGGTTCCCTTCTGTGAGCTGTCATGCACTCCGGGGTGGGCTTTGGTGATGCAGTTGTCTGAATCACTTCTGATCCCATAAGTAATCCCTCATCCATGCTGCTATAAGTAACCCACAAAACTCACTGGCTCACAAAGCTGGACTTCCATCTTTGGTCTGTCGCTCTCTAGGGTGAGGAGACGTTTGTTAGTTCATGTCTCGCTAGGACAGTACCTAGCATTATATAGGCTTGGCTGAAGGATCTGAACAGGAGCAATAGGTGGAAAACAGATATGGTCTTCATTCTGAGATTCATTACATGTCCCAAACCCCAACTACACCTGCAGTTCTAACCCCTACTCTGGCTCTATAGAGACACAGCACACTTCTCCCAGCTGCCTGTGGAATCCTCACTTGAGGACACAACCAGAATGAGGTCTTAGTGATGTCCACTTGGGGTTTCATGGGACTCCTATGTGTTCGGGTAAAGTATGGGATGACTGCCATGATGCTGATGGCAACCCTGTATTGGGGCAGTGAGTAACAATGCAGCTCAGGAAGGGGAGAAACAACTCCTACGAGCTGTCCTCTGACCTGTACATGCACACTGCTGACAGGCTGGTATGAGTAACACAGTGTGTACAGTTGGTTGGTAGTGTGTACACACACCCATGAAAATCAGGCATTGACCTCACCTGCTGTGAGGAGCTAACAAAGGCCACGAAGCAGGAAGATGCGAGAGAAAGCGCATGCCATTGTATCATCAAATGTGTGTTCAGCACACAGGCTGTGATTCGGGTAGGGTAGACTCAATTTGGGCCTTGGAGCTGGGCACCTAGGTTTGAATCTCAAATTGAATCTTTTTGGTTTTGGTGTTTTTGTATTTTTGAGACAAGGTCTCTTTATGTAGTCCTAGCTATATGTGCTATCCCTAGAGCTTAAACCAGGCTGGCCTCCAGCTCACCTGCCTCTGCCTCCTAGGGTGCCACCACACCCAGCCCTCAATTTGAACTTTTATTAATAAGTTTCTCAGCCTGTCTGGGCCCTTTGTCTTCTCATCTACAAAGTAGGAGTAATGACTGCTGTCTAAAATATGTTTATGAGGACTTAAGCACAGCACAGAAAGAAACACCCAGGACAGTGTTAGCTTTTACTAAATGCTAAAGAAGGATGAATATGGGCAAGCCAGACTGCTTCCCTATGCCTTGTCTATGAACCATCAAGTTTGGGCACTAGGATGCCCAAGGATACTCCATCAGCAGCCCCTCCTTTGAGGCAGGCAGGCAGCTGGGTTTCGGAGGAACTAAACGTATTGATGAATGCATTTTTGAGCCTGCACCTGCTGGATGTCCAGGGATCCATGCACAGACAATGTAGCCCTGTGGCATGTATAACCTCACTGGGGAGATTAACATTCTTCTACACACTAATTAGTGAACAATACAAATAGCACAGTGGTCCCAACACACAAACTGGTGTTCTAAAAGTCCCTTCATGACTTGTGTGACACTCGCAAGTGGGGATTAAGTTAGGAAAACAAGTAACTAAAACAATCTTCCTATAGCCCCTGTTGAGGAGTAAGCATTACTAACCATCACCCATACCAAGTCAGAGCTCTGAGCTGGAGCACCCAGTGTCCATCAACAGGAGTGAGAAGTGTGGGTAACCATTACTCTACCTGAGACAGGACAGCATAAGGAACCTGGTTGGTTGCCAATGCAGGGTCAACAACAGAAGCAGGACCTGACGACAATCAGGTGTCTTTTTCCACCAAACGGTACAATGGAGACTTCCAAATACCTCTGCAGGTGGAGCACCAGCTATCTCCTGGCTCTTACTCCTGGGCCCCACAAGCTACTGAACTGTATTCTAGGGCTGGAGATCATAATGGTCTGAGCCATGGGGCATGTGCACAAAATATGTGTACACATGCACACACAGAGAGGACCACACGGTGGCTATAGGAAAGTGTTTTCTCCCTGAAGTCTCATTTACTATGTGTTATGGGTGACTGTTGTATAGTACTTACCATTAAGGTTATGTGCCCAGGAGTGTGTGCAGGAGATCAAAGTACAGTGGCTATATGCTGTTGGCTATTAGCATGCCTTCTTTGATTATATGTGTGCATTTGCTAGGGCTGGGCCTGAGC